AGTGTCTTACAATCAGATCTTGTATACTTACAATCAGATCTTGTATACGTGTACATAATCCTGAATTGTATTAATTCTGCTAGTCACCAACCTTGTGTTAAGAGGCATTAAGAAAAGAAGCCACTGAGACAAACAGACCCCCATGACACTGATTTTTCTGCATATTAAGCAGACAAGTTCTTTAACCCAAAGCGATCAGGATTACAGTAGTTGTTCTGCAGTTCCAAAGAACTAATAAGGTAAGTCATTTTTAAAAGTGATGTGCTCAATTAAGTCCAACAGCCCCACACAAAAGAAGAGCAACCTAATTCAGAATTAGCTAAGAGCTTTTTAAGTGTATTTACTAATCATGAAGCATGTTTTCAACTTAATTCAAGTGTTGCTATAAACAAACCTTGTCAATGGAATTAAATTACCTATAAAGCACTAATGTACTACATTAGAAGTCCATTAGATTAGCACTGCATGTTCTTATGTAAATCACATCTTCATTAGTGACCATTAGGGATTCATTACTGGGACAAAAATTGTCAACAACTATTATTCAGTTATTAATAAGTCTAGTCATATTAGGATTTTCACTGTGACAAGTGACTGCTGTTTTAAACAGCAGTAACACTACGACAGAAGACACCTGGAATAAAATATTCTTATAATGAATCAGGGCAAACAGAACACACTATTCCACACGAAAGACCCTGATTCTTACTAAATCCAAAAAGAAGAACATGGCAGAATTTCAGACTGGGATTTTAGACAAAGATTTAGCTATTTAACCCAAAAGCTAAATCTTTAGCTAAAATCCCAATTTGAAATGCTGCTGCGTTGTTCCTTTTGGATTTAGTAAGAATCTGAATACACTGTTCCACATCAAGAATGCAATTTGTCTTGATATGTTACCAGAATATCTTATTTTAGTGTCTTCTATTGTAGTGTTCCTGCTATTTAAAACAACAGTCACTTCTCACAGTGAAAATCCAAATATGCCTAGAATTCATAATAACTGGTTAATAGTTGTTGACAATTTCAGAGAAAACCAAATTACACCTTAGAAAATTTTTCCTACAAAGTTTTAGATGAGCATATCCTACGTAAACAGATGTAGAGAGAAAACTGAAATCCTCAATGTGTGTACTCACTTATAAAATGCTAGGGAAGTTTGTGTATGGATAACAAGGCTATTTCCTACCCCAATGGTACCCAGATGTTCTGAAGTCAGGACAAGCCTCTTGTCAAATTGGTAAATGTGTTGACATGTCTCAAGGTGGGGGGGAGGAGGGAAATCACTGAAAATTTCAGAGAGCTGGGTTTTGCCACAGCCAAGCACTTCCTATATACGCATTTAAAGCATATAAAAACTGCTCCTCTACTTCTTAATTTGTTCTTTTAAAGAATTCAACTGTGATGCAGTTTTATGCACAGCATTAAACACAGAGCTCAGAAAGGTCTTCTGAGGCCATAAAGTCACTCTCTGTAAACTGTTGACAGAGGATGCTCCTATGAGCACCAAGATTTAAAACAACAGCACATACCACATGCTCCTGCAAATATGTTACAGATTTGCAGGGGTCCTTACAGATTTCTATAGCTGGGTCTTGGTCCTCAACTAAGGGTCCTACGTGCCATGCTAAAGCAAATAATAATATCGCTTCTGTTCATTACAGTTTACATAGTTAGTGAACATACTGGTTTTAAAATCAATACATACTGGTTTTAAAGTTAACTACTAAAATTCCCATATTAAATGTTATCAGTTAAAAGTGTTTTTACCATTTTTCTCTTTTTGTTCACGATGCCTGAAAAAGTGTATAATGTCCTTTGGGTTAGCTGTCCTTTCCATGAACTTCTGACTGAAACGATGAATATTGAATGGTTCAAAACCTCCACTGTAATCAACCTAAAATGAGAATGTCAATATATGAAATTTAGATAGAGGCAGGTAAACCATACCATTCAAATAATCTACAAAGCATCAGATTTAAAAAAAAAAATATCCGATACATGTAGAGCGAGAATGGGATTTAAAACAAAATTTAAACTGTGGATGAGCAGACAAATTATGAAATATAAAACTTGAGAACATGTAGAACAAAACAATCCAGTCAACCAGAGTTTTAAAATAAAGCAACTAAGACTTACTCGTAATCTTAGGAGAGGTTTTTCTGGCTGGCGTGGATTTCCCAGACGTTCTCTTTCTGCATTATCCAGCAGTGTTTCAACCTGAGAGGCACAAGCAGTAAGCGAATAGATATAAAAGTTACTCTTCAGCATCTATTACTTTTTCTGGTTGTGGCTATTTGGAACTTTCCAGCCACTATCTAAAACTACATTTGTTGGAGGGAGGGGAGAAGTGCCTATTTAAGTAATAAAGAACTAAAATCTGCCCTCTTAAGTGCACATACACATTAGAGATGGCAGAATTTGAACAAGTGTGTGAAATATAATGACTAAATCTCAACAAAGAAGTTTCTTGCTAGTATTTCCAAAAGTCTTCTCACATTTTCATTAGGTAGTTCAGTGTAATCTCCAACATTATCAAGTGCTATACTATGTGATACTTCAGTGTTAGATATAATTGTGATTCTTCACTTGACTCGTGAGTCCAATAAAAGGGGTGGGGTGGCCAATGAAGTACCGAATTGAGAGAGAAAATAATTAAGAGACTTTCCCCGGCACTCAGCATGTCACTGGCATACACAGGGAGAAAATTAAGGTGTTCCAACTTCCAGTCTTTTATGTTGATCACATTCCCTTCCTACAGTTCAAGTACAAGAGAGCTACCTTTTCCATACAGAATGCTTGTACTGCTTGTGTTACTTTTGGATTGTCTGGATTAAAAATGTCTGGATGATCAGCAAGAACGATATCCTCTATGTAGAAACTTCGTGCGGTTTCAAGAGGAATCTTCTCCATATTCATTTTTTTGCCTTTAATGTGCAGCAAACCAATGTGCCTGGAATTAGATGAATAATTTTGCAAATGAGGATGGGCAAGTCACAGAATTTAGATAAAAATTTCTGTTAATGTCTCCTTTATTCTTACAACAATCTCACTGAAAATCCTTAAAAAGTAACAAGGTGCTCTGAGCAGTACTTCAGATCCTGTCCTCAGTAGGTTATAACTGGAAGGGCCTCATGATTACATGAGAGCATGTTCACAGATGGAAATAGACAGGGTGCAAAAAGTCTAGAGCTGTCAAGTGACCTGCGTTAACACCTGCGATTAAAGCAGGTCAGGATTAATGCGTTAATTTTTTTAACACGTTTATCGCAGGCGTTAATGCTGTGCTGCCTCTTTGAAGCGCTGCTCCGGCTGAACTCCCGCTCTGGCACTTCAAAGAGACTTTGCAACGTGGAGCCGGGAATCAGCTGGGGACTGATCTCTGGCTCCGCTGTTGCAAAGGCCCTTTGAAGTGCCGCTCCGGCATTTCAAGGCAGCACTTCAAAGGGCCTTAGCAACACAGAGCCGGGGATCAGCTGGAGTCCCCAGCTGATCCTTGGCTCCTAATGCACTGCCCCTTTGAAGTGCCGTTCCGGTGCTTCCAAGGGGGCAGCGCTGCATGGAGCCTGGGATCAGCTAGGAACTCCAGCTGATCCCAGGCTTCATGCAGCCCTGCCCCGTTGAAACGCCACCATGATGTTTCAAATGGGAGCTGCACGCGATTAATCGTGATTACAATTTTTAATCACTTGACAGCCCTAAAAAAAATCCATTCATTTTTCTAGGCTAAGTTTACCTAAGTGCCCAGAGGTGTACCTACTTAAAAGGCTGAATTTAGTTTTAAAAAAAAAGCCAACACTAAGTTACCATAAAATACTGATATTAGTCCTTTGGCAGATTACGTAGTAACATTTCCAAACAGAATTACATTATACCCCAACCAATTCCCTACATTTAAATAAAATGTGTCTTCTGTATAAGAGTTGCCCAGAACAGCATGCAAGAAGAATACTAGAACAAAACTCCAGAAAAAACATACTTTTTTATAGCTTCTCCTGGTGACAAAGAAGTAACCACTGAACTTCCTGGCTGAGATACATAGAAAAGTTGCTGTTCATTTCGAGTTGGAGCTATTTTACATTCATGTTCGTGACCCCATATAACAAGGTCAATAAAGTCATCTAAAAACTGCTCTGGAATATAATTTGTGGCTCCATGTTTACTCCTGTTTCAAAGAAAAGGAAGAGAATTAGAATAAGTACAGTTTTGGCTCTTTGAGGCGAGATTGGAGGTCGGGGGGGGGGGGGGGAGAACAGTTGCAAAACACTAATTTAAATAATAAAGATATTATACATTTGGTTTGCATTCTTACAATATTGGCAATGCCTATATTTCACAAGTATATAGAAAATTAATATTCCTTTTTATTCCTTGCACAGATAAGAGTTATTATTCTAATGCTGAGTTAAGAAATATTATTTTTCTTGATTTTTAATAGAGGTTATATTTCCTCACAAGTGAAAGGGTAGCTTAAAAATTCAAACATTTCTGTTAACACTAAGCTTGCTTACTTTGATTTTTCTCCCTCCCACCATCCTGGCTTTGATTTGGGTTCTCTTACTCTCTCTCCTCCTTTCACTTGACATGTATACTCTTCACTTTTCCATCATATGAACCTCTTGTCCACCTCAAACATTTTTGTTATAGCTGTTCTTTAAAGAAAAAAAAATTCTTCCACTTTTTTCTTTAGGGTTCATCCTAAATCCATAATCCTCACTTCTTACTCCCTTTTGCTTTTTTCCCCCCTTTAAAATGGGAAATGAAGATCCAGTTATTGTTACTCCTTCAGACAGCTGTATGGAGTAATTAACTCTGACGGAGCTATCTTTACAAAATGTTCAGACTTTTCCCTCAAAGTACCTTTGACACCTTCACATTCTCTTTCTTGAACAGATTCAGAGGAGAAATTATAAGGAGGGTGTCATTTTCACTCTTTGCCTGCTAACACTTCTGGGAAAATAATAGATGTGGAACAGTACAAATGTATACAATAATCTTGCCAAGGTAGATTTTTTAAATGTTCAAAAGTGCAAACGAAATCATAGGACTTCTGAACCCAACTCTACAATTGTCTCTGCATTATAACCAATCCATGGCCAATTTGTTATTCCTTCTATAAACATGTAAACTTATAGACTCATATTTCTCCTCACACACGCAAGTAGTACAGAGTTCAGTGGAGTGGGGAACCTCCAGCCCACTGTTTAATTTCATTCCACTCATGGCAAATCTCCATGCTGCGGGCTGGGAATCCTGAGCTTTGCCTTGTCTAGCCTCCGCTCCCCTCCTCCCACCGCAATGCTGGAGCCTCCAATACCAGTTTTGCTGTGCAAGGAAGCTAAGTTGTCTACTGGTCAGCTGCCCGAAGGCCCTAGATGCAGGGACAGTTAGGAAAGTTCAGCTCTGAGATCCCGTGTGCGCTTGCCACCATCCATCCACATGTGCCACCTCCGATGCTCCCATTAACCAGAAACCGGGACAAATGAAAGCTGCAGAGTGACATTCATCAGCACACGCAGTGCACACAGTCCAAAGTCGCCGGGCACTGCGGGGGTCAGGGCAGTGGGTGAGCCTGCCTTAGCCCCGCTGCGCCACCAATCAGGAGCCGCCTGAAATAAGTGGCGCCAGGCCAGAGCTCACGCCCTTCATATTTTCCTGCTCTCCAACCTTTGACCTCATCCCTGAGCCCCCTCCTACTCTCCAAACCCGTCCCAGAGCCTGCACCCTCACCACAAACCTCATGCCCAAGATCCTCTTCCTGCATCCTAACTCCCTCTCAGACCCTGCACCTCAATCCCTTACCCCAGGCCTGAGCCCTCTCCCATACGACAAACTCCTCAGCCCCAACCCAGAGCCTCCTCCCACGCCCTAAACCCCTAATTTCTGACCCCACCCCAAAGTCTAGAAGGCCAGAGCCTCAGCATCCCCTTGAAGGCTATGTGTAACCTGAAACTGATGTTTTCTGTGGGTTAGTACTCCCTCCCCCATTTGGGAAAAAAAAAAAGGTTCCTCGCCCCAATACAGACAATTCACAATTGTTTTGTGAAAAACAACTGCGCCCTCTCCATAAAGTTAATTAATGAGGTTGTACTGTTTTTAACCTCCTTATTCAGAGGTCACACTCTCAGCCAACTGTGAACTCCTTTGCTCCATCCTTTTTTCTGTATTTCTTTTCTATAATCAGATCAACTGGACAGGGTTACTACACCAAGAAATGACATATTCCACTTGCTTGATGCATCTAATAGGCTATCCAATAGACTTAGGTAGCAGATGTCCGGTCATGAACCTAAATTTCATGCATAGCATTTTGAATATTTTTGTTGTGCAAAACTGAATATCTACTTAGAAAAAAAAAATTCACAATCCAGTCAATATTGTTACCTGTTCTGATGAATCACAAACAAATTAAACCAATTATCCTCATCTTCCTTTGGTCTCAGCATGGTTACCTGCTTATTGACAAACATTCGATATAATCTCTCATCTGGTATAGACCCTGGAATGTGCATTGCAAAATGTTAATCAATGTTACTATACAATAAATTATGTTTTATCAGCAAAATCCTGAACAATGACATTGTGTAGCAAAATTACACTTTATCTTTTCATGATTAAAGAATCTTGAAGCACTGCCACAGATTTGACCAAGGTGCTCTAAAACTGAAAAACACCTCAACCTAAAATGTTAAAAAAAAAAAGTTAAACTTAATTCCAGCAGATACCATGTCTGCCCTTGAGTCTCCCTGCCAATTATCAGGTTTTACAATCAAGTTTACTCTTTTAATATCATCTACTATATATTTAAGAGAGTTTGTCTGTTTGTGTATCTGTCTGGACCCCCGCTGGGGACATGTACCCGTCCCTGGGTGTGCCTGCTGAAGCTGCAGCAGCCATGGAAAGGCGCTTCTCACATGACCTAAAGCCACGGTGGTGAGAGAGGGCTGGGGTTGTCCTCTCTCCCCAGGGCAGCCTACATACTGAACCCCTCATCCCCAGCCTCACCCTCACCCCAGATCAATAATTTAAATGAAGAAAAACAAAAATTAATTGAGTTAAGACTCGAGCAACATTGGGTAAATCTTCTGTCTAAAAGTGCTTCTCTCCCCCTTTTGGTTGCATGTGAAAAGCCTAAACAAAAACTGACTTCAGACAAGCACAGCAAGTACTAATTAAAAAAACAAATAAAAAAACACAACACTGAGCTGTCAGGGTAAAAATGGGGAAGAATAAGTTTCATTCAACAGCAAGAGATTTCAGTGTAATAAACAAGTATAAACTCACAAATTGTATTACAGTTACTATTAAAAGTATAATACGCAGGTTAAGAAGATTATCTGTATATCTGGGTACATTGGTTAGATTATCCACAAATACTTGCCATCATATCAAACTTGCTGACCTCTGATACAATAGTGGCATCCCTAAAAAGATGGCTGCAGTCAAGAGCACAGACACTAATCTTAACAGGACTCAGAGAAGGTCATAAAAGTAAAGAGGGAATAAACACCATTAGGAGTTTTATAAACCAATACCAAATGATCAAGCAGCCTATGAAAAGAATGTAGGGTGAACTAATGTGATCATGGCTGCTTCAGTCAGTGAGTAAATATACTGTACTGTCAACAAACTACAAGCCAAATATAGGGCCTGTGACGGGGCGCCGAGACCCCGCACCCAACCCCCGGGACTTTGCGCCCTTGCAGAGGGGCAACAGGGCACCTACCGCCGATGCGCCGGTTGCTCTCGCGCCGCGGCTCAGCTGGAGGGACGTCCCGGCACAGCTGAGTTGAACTCAGCCCCTCCAGCGAGACGGGAAAAGAGAACGCGCCACGTCGGACGGCAAGGGGCGGGGCACGTAAACTCCTCCGAGGTAGGCGGGGATTTTAAAAGCTTGCCGGCCACTGGAAAGGAAGGGGGGGGGGACGAGGAGAGCACGGGGGCTCCCCGACGTGGAGAGAGACCCAGACGCGCTCACGACAGTTTCCGCAGGGGGAGACACGACGTCGTGAGTATCGACACTCCGAGGACGGGACAGGGGGAAGAAGGAAGTAGCCCAGGGCAGGGCGGCGAAGTAGCCCATGGGCTGGTGTGTTTAGGGGCACACCCCCGCCAGTCGGACAGAGACTCGAGTGTAGTCTCTGTCCCTAGGGCCCTGGGTTGGGGCCCGTGAGTGAGGGCGGGCCCGGGCCCCCCTTCCTTCCCCTTCCGAGGGAGAGGCAGACATAGCCAGAACTGACTCCCGGAGCGAGGTTATTGACTTACAAGGACGGGTGACCGTACCCCGGGACAGACCGAGGACGGGGGACACGGTCACAGGCCCAATAGGAAGGAATTTCAAAAACAGAACCACCTGGTCAGGAGGTCACATACTGTTTTGCCAGCTCATCATGGGATAAGAAATTCAACATTTGCAAATGTGCTTTTGAGCTGCGTGACGGGCCGTCACTTACCCGCGGGGAGGACGGCCG